GCGTGTTGTTGACTAGCTGCCTTCCCTCTAGTCTATCACTTCAAAATTAGAGACGGGTATGAGAAAATATCATTTTATGTAGCTTTTCTCGAAAATTCTAAACAAACTAAAATCAGACATAACATTACATAACAGTTCAGTTTCTAACGTTAAATATCAAAATACATCTCATACAGTGTTTGTAGTAACTTGGCGTAGATATAGTTGGCACATATTAAGGTGAATTAGTGTTAAGAAGGCTGTTAAATCATTTAGTATTAATTATCCAAAAGTACCCGCACAAACCCATTGAAGAGAGCCGGCAATATGTAATATTTTAATATCAATCTTCAGGGCAATAGCTGGTTTTTACAAATAAAAATGAATATTTAATTCCGCTTTTAACGTTCAGTTTCATCTTCAAAGCTCAGTACCATCTCAGTACCAGTATGTGCTTTCTGAAATTGTCTTCTTTTTACGTATTGAGATGTTGTGTCATCAGTGTTGAGATGAAGATGAACAGGGTTATATAAGCAGAGTTCAGATGAAGGTGTAGAACAGAGTTGAGATGAGGGTGAGGAAAGTAGTGAAGCAGAGTTGAGCAGTAAATCTATGTAAATAAACGTCAGTATGTGTGTGTGTGTGTATATATCTGTTCAAAACTTGACACAGTGATATAGTATGATACGAGGAAGGTCATGGGGGGTTGATCCCCCCAATTTCATTATCTAATTTCGGGAAACTACCAATGTTGTATGTCCCTCAGGATTAAAATGAATTATGTTACCACTATTGCTACAATTATTGAAAACAGTATGTCTTTTCAGTATTGGTACCTTTATATTTTATTGCACTTTTAATGTTTATTATGTTAAGAAAAAAAAACAATCGAAGCACAATTTCTATACTTTGTTACAAACGAGTTTTTATTTCACATAAAGTGTATAATAAAACACATTTATTAACTGCATGCAGTAAGTGTACAGTAAAACAAACTTATTAAGTGTAGTAAGTGTACAGTAAAACAAACTTATTAAGTGTAGTAAGTGTACAGTAAAACAAACTTATTATGTGTAGTAAGTGTACAGTAAAACAAACTTATTAAGTGCAGTAAGTGTACAGTAAAACAAACTTATTAAGTGTAGTAAGTGTACAGTAAAACAAACTTATTAAGTGTAGTAAGTGTACAGTAAAACAAACTTATTATGTG